ATCCTCAGGATTGTTTTCCAAAAGTAAAGATATCCCTGTTTAAGGAGGAGGACAACCATGTGTTTTCTATTTTCCTTAGTAATACATTCCATCTAAATAACTCTTAATTTCAAAAAATGGATGCTATGTGAATTTGATTAGATTTTAGTTTTCTTCGTATGATGAAATCTAAGAAACTTAATTAGAATAATCAATTCACTTTGGATTCGAATGCGATGGAGAGATATTTGGAACAATAAGTGAAGATGGAGAGTTTTTAATTACTTGGGACTCAAAATCAAAAGATGTTCAAATTCGGTAGTATATGGAGAGAAAGCAATGAATATCAAACATTCATTGAATTATTTAAAAGCAATGAATATCTATTATTCATTCATTAATTTAAATGTAACCTAATATAATATACAATTTCAACAATTCTAGCAATATATATTTTACTAAAGTAGTATTAAATTCAAAATAACTTTGTTATCTCTTTCATTATTTTAAACGTTCTTTCTGATTTAGATCTTTTGATACTTGTATCATAGATTATCAATTATTTGCCATTTTACTTAGAATTCCAAATACTAAACTACTCTAGCACTATATTACTTCTTCAATTTTATAGTGATAATAACTAAGCTTGATATCATCAATGTTGTTCCTATTATTTAAATTTTATGATGTCCCATTGAATCCACTTTTAACAATAAAATTGTTATTAGATGGTATATGTTGTCAATTAAATTATAATTTTCATAATTAAATTTCTTAAACTTGAGTTAGATATATAAATTGCATCTATGGATTTAAGATGATAATACATTAGATGGAAATCAGACAAGGAGTTCTAATCCCCTTTAAACCGGAATCTAAATAGATTATAGAGTAATGATTGATGAATTCTGTTTATGTATGAAAATGTGAGTGTCATTAATGGCAGAAATGCAAAGATGTCATTTGTAATAAAGCAGAGATGATAACCATAAAATTTCTAATTTTAACTTTTGAACTACTTTCCATTTAGATTCATTGGATCCTACTGTAATTAGTATCTATTTTTCATAACCAATTCAGATTAATTTATTGCTATTTTGATTGAGTGGTATTAGAAAAATATAATTGGTATGCTGTTTTATGCCTAAACGCACTACAACGACTCTTTATGGAATTACTAAAATTAATAGTCAAATCACCCTAGCTACTTATGATAAGATCTTCAGATTCTAGATGTAATACAACAAATAAGACATCCTTAGTATGCCCCTTAAATTAGTATAAATATTTTGGATTTGACATCAAATTACATGGCCAAAGTATCTTTGAAAAATCTCATGAACTTGAAATGAGAAAAGGTTTCCTCTTATAGAATTTAAGATTTTAAATAATAACCGAATGCTTGATTAATTTTTCGAATTATGTTGTTAATCCATTCTTGAATTATTAGACCTTAATAATTTTATTTGATCTATATGCGAACAAGGTATTTTGTCATCTATTACAAGATCCCAACATCTATTATTTCGGTGTGTATGGATTGTCTGATATTTTGAGATTGCCTGATTGATAGGTGTCTTGTTAACCATATTTGCTCTTAAATTTAATTAGAAACTTTTACAACCGATAATTGCCTATAAAACAAAAGTTATGAGGAATAATTCTATTAAATTTTTTTTTGTTTTACATATACATATAATATATTCGATCGAAATTTTTGCTTTTGCCTAGTATTAAATGACTTTATTGGTTTCGAATCAAGAATTTCATATCCTAAACTCTAGCATTTAATAGAAACGAAAGACATTTGCATTAAAAGTTCCTTTTTCCTGGAGAGTATCTATGTTCATGGAATTTGGATAAAGTGTTAAAATTAGGAGGGTATTTATTGCTTGGAGGCTTTACTTATTGTATTTTATAATTATTATACAATATTTAGGATTATCAACTTGTTTCTTTGAAATAATCAATGTTTATTAGAATTCATATAATTGATGTAGAATAATAAATAATAGATTTGAATATGTATATTGTAAATAAAAAAATGGAAACTTTTATACTTTTACATCATTTTCTAATTACAAGCTAGGAAAATAATTCATTATACATGTTTTAATTTTAAGAGTCATCTATTTCTTCAAATATTGTATCTTTAAGTGAGAATGGTTATTATTTATTTTAATCAATTTTCTCGATAACACTTAAAAGTTTCCTAATCTCATCTATTTAATTTTAATTTTGACTAAAAAAAATTCGCTCTTCATCATTTTTCACTAAAAATTTTAGTGATTTTTTTAAATTCTCTTTATCCTCATCCAAATTTTCACTTTAATCAAAATAAGTCACTACGATAATGATTAAATCTATAAAGCGACGAAAATATTTAATCACAGATAACAAGTTTCGTTTCATTATATCTGTTCTCTCAAATTTAACACTCACAATTAAAGAAATTATTTGGTTATTTCGTTTATGCTTCTCATTATAGGTTTTTTGAAAATCTTCTATAGATTACTCTCTAATTTCTATTTCTCTATCTAAATCCATCTCAGGAACTGCCTCAAATGAAGGGCTATTTGTATTTTTTTACAATTATTAACATAATTCTGATTATCCTGATCCTGGAGTTCCTATTATAAAAACATATTTTTTATGCCTTTACTCACATTCATTTGATGTGTCTTTACGGCTTGACAAACAACCACACATCTAAATGATCTTATGTTATTATCCTTAATTCTCAATACTTTTCTTTTTTTTAATTTGTTCCTATAATTCTATTAAAGGATTAGAACCTAATAAATAATAAAGTAAAATAACCATCTCTTATTTGAAATTCAATATTATGTTAAAATAAATTAGGAATATTTCAAAGGAAATATAAAAATCATTTAATAAAAAGACCTTGATGGCTTTGATATTATTTTGAAATTAATATAAATTTTAAAATTTACAAATACTCATATTCAATTTGTTCTTTTATTTGCATTAGTATTAGCTATATTCTGACAACTTTAAAATGTGTTCCCCCCATTTGGTTGCATCTAGGAGCCTCTTGAATTAGGAGGCAAGGAGTTAGAGTTCTTTGGGTAACTTAGAAGTACTTTTGTCAAAGTCATGGCTTAAAATTACCTAAAAATTGAAATTAAAACATACTCTGCATTTTTTTTAATCTCTTATTCACTAGGAACATGATAGTATTTTGCTTACTTCACATTTTATATTTGTTAATCAATCTATTCTACCTATGGAATCAGTTAATTTAAAAGATTCTCGTTAAAAGTAAATTCTTAAGTCTGCGCAAAGGGAAGCTATTTGATGTTTACCGATTATGATAAATTATTTTCTTTATACATTCTTAAAAACCATTGTTGTTCAGGATGTAGCTCTTTTTCGAATGTTCTGAACATTCCTATTACGTTATTTCTCTCTTTTTAAATACATTATAATGCTTATTGATTCATATGTGTTCTTTCTAAGTCAAAATGGATTGAATTTGAAATATTTAATTGTAATGTCAATTTTTTTTTACCCATAATTATTGCTGGATGATCAGGCTGTGTTGGAAAACAGTCTTAAATTATTTTCAAAGAATATAATAAATTCATTATATTTTAGAAATCCTTATATATGTAGTATTGAATTATAGCTTACTCTTCCTGATTTTAAAATGAGCCATATTATTATTATTATTATTAAGTTCCAGAGTATTAATTATAGTAAAAATTGCTCATTGTTATGAAAATAATATAAATAAGAATTAGTCATCCATAAATCTTTAAACTTAAGTTAATAGAATAAAATATTAAAAACTATTATATTATATTTTTCATATTTATTTTCTTTTGATATTAAAATAGTTGTCATTACATATTTTATAAATAGTATATGATACTCTCTCACATATTTATTTATCTTTTATGGGGAATAGAAGATTTACTTAGTAAATCTATTTAAAAGATTTTATTTTGATTGAGAATTTAGTTTAATAGAGTTTATAATGAAAGAAATATCAAATTTATGTATCAAAACAATATTTGTTCCAAGAAGAAAGCCTTAAATTTAGAGATATCACTCTTTTTAATAAGAATATATTAATATGTAAAGTACATTGTACTATCTCATATTATTTATGAAATAGAAAATTCATCGCAATTTACTTCAAGAGTTTAATCAATTTCTGAAAACTTTTGTTTTTTAATTTATAAATAACGATTTCCTTAATATATAATCTATATATATTTAACAAGCAATAAAATTCTAAAGTAAAATTATTTTTAATTAAGAACATAGTTATCAACTAATAATTTTCTATCTCTTCAAGTACATAAGGCTTTGATTAATAATTTAAAGATCTTATTTTGAAAACGACAGCACTAAATCAGATCTAAAATTTCATAAATCTAACTATAAATATACTAAAATCAAATGGATCATTAGTTTAATTAATATATTTAGATCAATTTAATTCTTTAAATATTTTCAAGAAAAATACTAAGCAATTCTTCCTTTTAACAGCAAAATTATTAGCAATATAGTTTATTTAAAATAAAATAAATAGATCGAACTCCTTTAATTAATAAATTAAATTACTATTAATCTAGTCAATTATAATTCAAACTTATGGATTGAAGGTCAGCAATATTAAATTCTAATATATTTATGATAAATCATAATTATTAATAAAACATCAATCTTGCAAATTTATTGTCTCCTAGGCGATAAAATTATATTGTTTTCTTTAATAAATTGAGTGACTTTAAGGAAAGGACTAAAATAAACATATAAAATACTTTTTTTATCTTAAAATAATAGGGTCTTGGCCTAAAATACTTAATTTGCTTGATCACATTTCATAATAGATTATAACCATTCTTTCTATTTGGTTAGAATATTTACTATCAATATTCTATCTTATTACTTTATGAAGAATAATATGATTAATTATTAATATTAAGTGTGTTTCCATCTTTTAAACATTATAATGCTTCTTAATATTTTCCTTACTTTTCTAGACATTTACCTTATTTTAAATAACAAAATACTTTTCTCATGATAAAATTCGTAGGAATCTCTATTAATCTATATTCCTTGATCCCAAACATAAATTGCTTCTTCCCATAAACGTTATTTTATTAAAATTGAAGCTATAAGAATAAAGGTAACCTTTACCCTTTAATTAATAAAATTAAGGTTTATTTTAATTCAATTCAATCCCTTTATTTATGCACTTATTAATTTCTGAAATTTAACCATTTTACTGTAAGATTCGAACTAAATAATTTTTATTAAACTTGACCTTTTTTTTCATAAAATTAAATAGAAGTTTTATTCCATTCAACTCCTTAATCCCAAAGCTTAAGCACTTCATACCAATTCCCTTTACTTTTTAAAGCTTAGGCTATAGATATGATTATATTTTGGAACTTACATTTTTATTCATAGAAATCTATATTATCTCTATTATATGAAATTCCTAAATCCCAACAATTTATAATTTCTTAGAATGTGCCGTGTCTTTCTAACACTTTAACTGATAAAATATAACTTTAAAAATACCTTTTTCTTGATAAAAGAAGATATTATTCTTATTGTTGTCAATTCCATAATTCCAGCATAGAATAATTTCTTAAATTTTGCCTTATTTGGCTAGTATTTTTGCTAATTTTTATAAGAATCTAAACCTTTATTTTCATAATATATTATCATTTTCTTATTATTCTAAATTCCTAATTCCCAGCATTAAATAATTTCATTAGATCGCTTTAAGATTGATAATGCTCTTACTAATTTTTTAAACCTTATATACCTTTTTCCCTATAATAGTCGATATATTCACCGTTAGACTATATCCCATTATCCCAGCATTCAATTAATTCATCGAATTTTCCCAAATAGCTTAATAGTTTAGCTAAATTCCCTAAATAAAATACCTTTGTAATTGTAAAATCGGAAAGAGTATTTATTATCTCTGATTCCTTCATTCCAACTTTCAATTGCCTCTTGATATCTTTCCTATTTACATAAAGCCTTCGCTAATTGATTTTTTAAATTTATTACCTTTTTCTGTGTAATAAATATATACATTCCAGTAATAGGAATTATTTAGAATTCCTTCATTCCAGCATTCAATTATTTCGTTGTTTCTTCCTAATTATTCTAACGCTTTTGCTATTAATAGTAAATAGGAAACAACCTAATAAATAATAAAATGAGATTATGTTAGGATTTAACTTAATACATTCTTTACAGAATTGAACAGCTTCTTCAAACTTTTTATTTTATTGTAAATAGTTGCCTTTAAATCATTTCAATTTTTAATACCTTTCTCTTCTAAATAAAATATCTTGTCTGATGAATTTTTTATTCCTTCTTCAATAATCTCTATGAGTTTCGAATCCCATCTTGCAATCTTTAAAAACTAGCCTAATAGATTATACATAATTGTTACTTTTCGAATAATATAAATTTTTTTAATCTTTCTTATCACTACAATTTTATAACCATTCATCCCAGCATTATTAAGCCTTCTCTAGTCTTCCTTTCCTCACTAGAGCTTAAACTAAATATTGCAATAAGCAATTGAATACCTTTAAGAGGACTAATATAACAGGATTTCGATTCTTTTTTTTATGGCGAGCTGGTCACTTCAATTGATTTCTCCTATTCTTAAACATCTATTAGCATCATTTCTATTGAAATATGCATAAATTTTATACTTTGAACTTCATAAACTAAGTCTTTATCATTCCATTCTTACATTACAGTATAGTTATTAAAAAATTAATTTAAACTATTGACATCAGGGAATAATGTTATAATAATGTTATAAATTTCATTATTTTGAAAGTTTAATTCCAATAATAAAATACTTATTCTGGAATCAATACTAGCCTTTAAAATTCATAAGAGCTGGGTTTATTGAATTAAATAGGACTCATCAAAAATGATTCAATTTTTTGTTTCAGTTGAATATCATGCATTCTAGTAATGATAATTCTACTTGAATATAAATATTAAAAATTATAACTCTTGTTTATTTATTACTATTGGAGATAAAATCAATTCAATATGTTTTGAATGTCTCTCATCTACAATATCTATAACATTGAACAAACTTGAATAAATTTGTATAAATATTTAAATAAATAATCATTCTATTATTCTCAAACGATTGATTTCTATTTTCGAAATGGGAATATCTGACTTAATACCAATGATATATTATTTATTAAAATAATGAATCAGAATATCCATATTACCTTAATTGATGAGGATTCAGAGGTGAAATAGGTGGGGAACTCAGAAATTCAAATCAATGAAGAATTGTGCAATATTTAAGAAAAATTAAACATAGAGAATACTGAGATATATTTTCCTCACAAACCTTACGATGTTCAAGTAAAGTATATGGAAAGTGTAGTCCAAATCTTAGATAAGAAATGCAATGGATTGTATAATAATCTTAATTATCAAATTTTAGATTAGAATCTCCAACCGGAACTGGTAAGACTTTATCTTTGCTATGCTCAACTATGGGTTGGCTCCATAAACATAGAAAAGAGCAATAGAAATCTGGTGCTTCTAGCAATTTAAAAATAATTTATGCTTCAAGAACTCATGCACAATTAAAATAAGTAGCTTAAGAATTAAAGAGAACTGTTTATGCACCAAATATATCTATGGTTGGCTCAAGGGATTAATATTGTTTATTAGATTTTTCAAATTTAAAAGGAAATGCTTTAATATAAGCATGTAGAAGGTTGGTTAAAAGAAATAAGTGTTAATTTTACAACAAAGATTCATTACCAAATATAGCAGCTTAAAATTCTAAATTGATCAATACTTTAGAAGAATCTAAATAATTTGGACATAATAATAATGTATGCCCCTATTACTTTGAAAGAGAAAGATTAACAAATGCTGATTTAATATTATTACCATACAACTATTTACTAGATCGTGAATTTTCTAATATTGTGAATACAGAAAATTCAATTATTATTTTTGATGAAGCTCATAATGTTCCTTCAGCTGCTGAAAATGGATAATCATTTTTTATAAATGAAACCATAGTTTAAGAAGCGAAAAAAGAACTAGAAAGATGGCTGAAAGAATTATACGAGATGCCTGACTTTTTTTCAGGATTCTAATAAGTTTTAAATTAGAAAAAGCTATCCTCTTTGAGTTTAAGAGAATATGAAGACATTGTCTAAACGATTGGAGCTTTTTCAATTTTTTTGTAAAACTTATAAGGAGCTTCATATTTCGATCCATAATAGACGAATGATTAATGCAAAGTTTTTGATGCTGAATAGATATTTAATTTCCTTTATGAGAACACTTCTATCAATAAAAAAAATGGAGGTACAATATTTTCAAATGGAATTAATGGGGATAATATCTCTTTATACATCTCATTTTGTGTAGCAATAATTACTTATATGAGCGAAACTTCTCCTCATGATGGTTCTAATTTTCACTCTTGGATTAGATTTGTAATTAACCTGTATAATTTAGATGAATTTGATGATTATTTAGATGATGATGAATAATTACAATACTTTGACTTCTATAAATTAGCAATTATAAAGAACATCCAGAATTAAATATCCCTTAATATGTGGTGCTTAGATCCTTCTTTAGCATTTAAGAAATTGAAATTAAATAATATATGTTCCATAATTTTTACTTCTGGTACATTAGCACCTATGGAATCTTGGTAAAGTGAATTATAAATGGAGTTTAAGATACAATTAAGTAATAAACATGTAATAGACATTGCCAATAATGTAAGAGCATTTTAACACTTAAGTTTCGATTTTTCTTATTAAAAAAGAGAAAATGAAGATTAAATTATAAACTTAGGATTGGCCATACTAAATTTTTCAAAAGTAATAAAAGGTGGAATTATTATTGTGTTTTCTTCCTATGGTCTTATGCAAAATATTAGGAGGAGATGGGCAAATTAATAATTGATATAAAGACTAAATGAAGTGAAAAAATGTTTATGGGAAGAATAAGGAAGTGCTTAATTTCACAACACATTAGAAGTTTTTAAACAGAATGGTCAAAAAGGAGCTATTCTATTTGCAGTTCATAGAGGAAAAGTTACAGAAGGAATTGATTTATCTGATGATTTATGTAGAGCAGTATTTTTGATTGGAATTCCTTACCCTCCATTAAAGGATTAAAAAATTAAATTAAAGAAGCAATTTTTAGATTAATAACTAGCTAAAAATAGATAAGGTTTAACTAGTAAAGATTGGTATATGTAATAAGCTGTAAGAGCAACAAATTAAGCAATTGGAAGAGTTATTAGACATATTAATGATTATGGGTATTTATTTTACTTAGTCTAGAGTGATATTCTTTTGCGATCGAAGATTTTTATGGTCGAATATGAAGAATAGTCTATCCAAATGGGTTTAACCAGCCATTCAGTCATGGAAAAATGATGAAGATGTTCTCTTTAATCTAAAAAATTTTTTTTAGAGATAAACTCAATAACAAAATTTAATTAAACAGACTTCGAATCAATAAGATAACTAAATTTTCTAAGAATAGGAAAGAAAAAATATATTTCAGGAAACTCAGAAATATGTGTATTAATAATTTAAATAGTCTTCTGATGTACAACCACCTAATACAATTCCATCTAAATAACAATAAAATTAAATTGAATTCAAAGATTACCTTATAACAGAGAATAAAAAATAACGAAAACGAATAGAAGAATTGTCAGATGAAGAATTGATATAATTTTTGGATGAAGAATACAATTAAAGTTCTGATTAATGGAAAGAGGATTTTTCAAATTAAGAGATGGAAGAATAATCTCAGTCTTCAGAAGAATTATTAGAAGAATCTTAATCATTAGAAGGACTTTAATCATAAGAAGGATCTTAATCATTAGAAGAATCTTAATCATTAGAAGGATCTTAGCATGGTAATAATGAGGAAAGTGAAGGAAATAAAATTAAGAAAATTAAATATAATAAATCGAATCTAAATGAACACAAAAAAAAATGAACAAAATTGTAGATTTAAAAAAATTAAAATTAATCATTCAATTATAATATTCATTTAATATAAATATAAATTTAGCAATTCTAAAAAAGCATAAATCTTACATATCAATAATGTTAGAAGAATATATAATAACCATTTCCAATTAGTTCAATTTTACTTATTAATATTTTAAATATAATGATATTGTAATGCCTAAATATTATTTCATTCAATTAATGCATTTTTTTATTGATATTTCTTTTACTTCACTATCCCATGTAAGTAAATATTCACCATCCTCACTAACCGTTCCAAAAACTTAAGAATTATTATACTGAATTGAGTGAGCAAGATTAAATTCAAAATTCTAATTTAGGTATAGAAAGTTCACATATTTTCCATTTTTATTAACCAAGATTGATTTCTGTTTAATAAATTTTGAAGGGAAAAATAAATCACACTCACTTCCATCCATAGTCAAGATTTCTTTAGCTTTATGATATAAGTTATCTTTCAATTAATAGATCTATAGTTTATTACTATTATTAGGTTAAAACGAAAAAGTATTGTTATTAATATAACATACTCTATATCCAAATGATTCCAATTCAATTGTTTAAGTAACAACCCAAATCATATTTTCTTGTTTAATTACTAATATTTTATTATCTCTTCCGCATGAAATTAATGTATTTGATTATTCATTTAAACATAAACTATATAAGCAATCTTTATGGGTATTTATAGATTATAACTTTAACCATTAATTTTATCTTCCCCAGAAGATTATTGATTAATCTTTACTACCAGAAATAATTAAATCCTCTTTATTACCAATAATTAAACAATAAACTTAATCTGTATGCTGATCTAGAGTTTATTAAGATATCCATAAATTATTTTACATTTTTGTCCAAAATTTAATGGTGTTGATCATCACTACAAGACACAAAAGAATTAGAATGCCCCATAAATAACAAACAATTTACATTTTTTGTATGTTCCCTTAATACTTGAATTTCATCTATTTGCTCATCCTTCAATAAGAACATCTTTATGTTTTCTTAACATCCAACAGCAACGAATTATGAATCCTTATTGATAGCAATAGCTTTACAAATTTCTTCCTGCTTAATTGAAATTTTCTAAGACAACTCATACCTAAAATTTGTCTTAATTCCACTTTAAAGGGAATTTTCTCAATCCAATTTTTTTGTGTTCATATAGACTGAATGATTAAGGGTATATTCATCAAAACGCTTTAATGTTTATTCAATTTCAAGAATGAAATTCGATTTGTCAAATGAATTTATTTTGCTTAATAGAAAGTCTTTAATATTTAGATAGTTAGGTAATTATATCTTAATTTATTGATAACTATTAATAAATTAATTGGCATCAATTATTGGGATTTAACTAATTAATTATTAAAATTTCTAAGTTGACTTTTTTATTAGATTAATTTATGAATCAGTAGTTTTGATCAATGATTCTAAAGCAACAGTTATATAATATTTATACTAGTTCATATTTTCCTTGATTTTATGCAGCAATGAAATATTATTATAGCCTCTTTCTTAATTCTCTTAGATTAGGATGTTTTATTATCTCTTAAACTATAATTATTAAATTTTGATTCATACATCCTCATTCTTAAATTCAGTAATACAAAACAAGCATAAATTTTTAAACGTTGAGTTTATTTATGATGAATTGTAGAAAATTGGAATCTAATCGTGTTTATTACATTTTTATAAGCTCATTATTTTAATTAATAAATTACAATTAAATTGGTGATGAGAAATATTTTATAAATCTTTTTGTTTCATATGTGTAGTAGATTCAAACTTAATTGCAACCTAATAAAACAATAAATTCTAATCAGAGTCTTATGATAGAATCAATGACTTAGAAAAGCGATTTTCAAAAAATCACAATAAAAAAGGAGCAATAAAACCAAAATTATAATCAGGACTGATTCTTAATGTTTTTTTGAAAATATGAATTCGTTGAAATTATTAATAAAATTAATTTCCATATTTCAAATTTCTCCGTTTATCAGAGACATCTTCAACTATTATTTGAAAGAAATTAATTAAACTGTTGCAAATCCTACTTAAGTTCAACTGCAATTCTACTCTTATTCATATTTTACATTACTTTTCATTTTAATTTAATTCTCGACTTGATATAACTGTTTTAATTCACTATCTTAAGCTTAACAAACTGTTTATGACTATTTGCAATTTAGATAAACTCTTTGATCTAAAGCTGTTACTTGAAATTTATGAAATAAAGAGGTAAGAGAGTCCAATATAAATGTTCTTTTTAGAAGGCTATTGATTTTCACAGATTTCAAATCTTGATCCTATTCAAAATATTTAAACTTTTAGTTGTTTAAATGCTCAGCTTAAATGTTATAATTTTTTGATCTGAATTCTATTTTATTTGTAAAGATTATTTCTAGTAGTTTTCCTTCTCTAGGTCTTATAAAGAGAATTTTCAAATTTGTTAATATTTAAAGAATGGATTATAAAATTATCACTTGTTCCTGAGTTTGTTTTAAGAATCATAAAAAATGCCAGTAATTACTAATTTTGTCTAGATGATTTTGATTCTTGCAATAGATATCTTCAAAATTTTTCTTTATTATGAGACTGGCTTGATTAAATTAATAAAAGAATGGTCTAGCTGTTAGCGATGAGTCAACTTAAGAAATTCTTAAAATTTATTTCGAAATATTTTTCCTCCTATTTTATTCAATATCCACCTAATAATGATAAAGAAAGACTAAATAGATAAATTTTATTAAAGCAGCACCCTTTTAATTCAAATTAAAATATGGCTATTTACCTCAATAAAAATGGGCTAAAAATTAGTTAAATATATTAATTATTATAATATTTATGTAATCTTATTTTTTTTCTCTAATTTATTAATATTATTTTTACAATATAAAATTTCTAAATT